GCGTAATCCGAACACAGTTAGCTAACACGTCGGTAGAGATGTCTCTATGGGGCCGTCCACAGATCACTAGGCACACCAAAGGACTCGAGGGAATCCTGAAAACCGATAAGGAGTAGTAGAAGTGGAAATACAAATACACGAGAGAAACTCCAACGAGTTGGATTACACGTGTAAAAAAATCGGAGAATATTTTTATGATCGTCCTCAGAAAGTTTAAGGGAATCTCCCAAAACGATATATAATCGATAAAACGAAATCATCACCGCCGGCAATATTTCCAGCCAGAAGCAGATCACTAAAGATGGACCTTGCTTGAATCTTTCACAATTGGACCTAAGATTCCTCTTCTTACCTTAACAAGAGCTTCCACGTCCACAGTGTCCATCAATCTCAAGCTAATAATCGCCCGAACAAGAGGCTGCTCACTGGCACTGCCGTGTCGAAGGTCTTCCAGGAAATGTTCCAAGTTATCGAGACTGGTGATCCTCGATAAACCTTCGAAAGCATAGCCGATATCAGTCAGCAATGAGTCCATGCTCGAATATGCATCTTCACGACTCAACGAAGGTACTTGGCGGGGCGGTCCTAACACCAACCAATAATTCCCAACCCTCCTAAAATACACCCGCACAAGTTCTATCCTCACCTGGAGGCATGTCATTATTATTAATACTGGCATCAAACAGTCTATCAAGCTGCTTCCTCCTTTCCTCCTCATCTACCAACACCCCATCATGACCAGCCCTTTGCAGAGCATCCAACACCTCGTCGACCACAGTCTTCTTGCAACCCTCATTCTTGCTGTTCTTAACACACTCTAACATTTCCTCCAGCTCTTCAAGAAGCGCTATTCTCCCACCCAGGCAATCGGTCACTGCAGGGAGCTTCTTGGGCTCCAAATCGGCTCCCAACAGAGCCAGAGGCGCGTCTTCATCAGCGATAACGTCAGATTCGAGCATGATATCTCGAGCCAGCCCAGAGCATCTCAACGCCAAATTGAGGAAGTACTTCAGACCAGCGTGACGAACCGCGTCCAAGTGATGACACAACAAACAGGACCAGACGTCTGCAACGTCGTGTTACCATTAAAATACAAATACATCATAGCAAGCATGCCGTCAGCCACATACTTTGCATCTGCGTC